ATATTCAAAATGATACCAATTAACATGTGAGCATCTAGTATGTGCATTTATTTGCATATATCAGTGACTTATGACTCATTAGATATGTACATGAATAATGTATTCAAAATGGTAGCACTTAACAAGTGAACATCTGTGCATTCCTTTGCATATATCAGTGAGTTATGACTCATTAGATATGTACATAAATAATGTATTCAAAATGATACCAATTAACATGTGAGCATTCATGTGCTTTCCTTTGCATATATCAGTAAGTTATGACTCATTAGATATGTACATAAATAATGTATTCAAAATGGCAGCAGTTAACAAGTGAACATCTGTGCATTCCTTTGCATATATCAGTGAGTTATGACTCATTAGATATGTACATAAATAATGTATTCAAAATGATACCAATTAACATGTGAGCATATATGTGCTATCCTTTGCATATATCAGTGAGTTATGACTCATTAGATATGTACGTAAATAATTTATTCAAAATGGCAGCAATAAACAAATGAGCATCTATGCGCATTCATTTGCATATATCAGTGAGTTATGACTCATTAGATATGTACATAAATAATGTATTCATAATGGTAGCAATTAACATGTGAGCATCTGTGTGCATCCCTTTGCATATATCAGTGAGTTATGACTCATTAGATATGTACATAAATAATGTATTCAAAATGGCAGCCATTAACAAGTGAGCATCTGTGGGCATTCCTTTTGCATATATCAGTAAGTTATGACTCATTAGATATGTACATAAATAATGTATTCATAATGGTAGCAATTAACATGTGAGCATCTATGTGCATTTATTTGCATATATCAGTGACTTATGACTCACTAGATATGTACATGAATAATGTATTCAAAATGGTAGCACTTAACAAGTGAACATCTGTGTGCATTCCTTTGCATATATCAGTGAGTTATGACTCATTAGATATGTACATAAATAATATATTCAAAATGATACCAATTAACATGTGAGCATCTATGTGCATTTATTTGCATATATCAGTGACTTATGACTCATTAGATATGTACATGAATAATGTATTCAAAATGGTAGCACTTAACAAGTGAACATCTGTGCATTCCTTTGCATATATCAGTGAGTTATGACTCATTAGATATGTACATAAATAATGTATTCAAAATGATACCAATTAACATGTGAGCATATATGTGCTTTCCTTTGCATATATCAGTGAGTTATGACTCATTAGATATGTACATAAATATTGACTTCAAAATGGCAGCAATTAACATGTGCACATCTATGTGCATTCATTTGCATATATCAGTGACTTATGACTCATTAGATATGTACATAAATATTGACTTCAAAATGGCAGTAATTAACAAGTGAACATCTATATCAGGGGAGTCATGACTCATTAGATATGTAAATGACTAAGTGTCAAGAAAACCTCTACCTGTTGTCCTGCACTATAGCAATAAGTTTTGTCTCATGATGTCTCGGTTGGCTGCAATTACTAATGGGTACAGTTGAATTTTTAAAATGATAATTCTTATCATGACCATAGTGAATAACTGGATTCAAGAAAGTGTCAAAGCTGGAACAATCTATAAACTGAAAGTTGAAAACAAAGAAATATTACATCACTTTTGATAGCATTATTGGGTGCAACAGGAACTTTGATAGATCTTTTGAGAAAAAAAGTAATTTTGAGCTAAGCTATAAATTCTACCAAATATAAAGAAATAAAACCATTTGTAAATTAATCTTATAATATAACACTGACTGGAGGCATACAGTCATATATAAACTGTGCACATATTTGTTTGTTTTGACTTGCATTAGCCCCTTCCCCCAACAAAAAGCAAACAGGCAAACTGAATTTTAATGTTTAAAAACAATACATTACTAATATTATGTAACAATTGTATGTAACAACTATGTTTGAAAAACAAAAAATCACAAGAAATGTTTGATCAATATTTTTGGTGGCCATCAATACAGTGAAAGAGATTACATATAGCCATGCATATAAAAGTAATGCATAAGTTACATTTTTCCAACTTGGTTGTGGTAATGGTGAAGTGCAGTGGGTCAAACAATTATGTGATATGCAGATTGATTGACCGTTAGAGGGCAGTATATTAAAAGGTAAATTCCCTATCAGATATTGCCACTAGAGGGAAGATTATTGGAAGATAAATTCCCTATCAGATATTGCCACTAGTGGGCACTATATTTAAAGGTAAATTCTGTATCAGATATTGCCACTAGAGGGCACTATATTGAAAGGTAATTTCCCTATCAGATATTGCCACTAGAGGGCACTATATTGAAAGGTAAATTCAGTATCAGATATTGCCACTAGAGGGCACGATATTGAAAGGTAAATTCCCTATCAGATATTGCCACTAGTGGGCACTATATTTAAAGGTAAATTCTGTATCAGATATTGCCACTAGAGGGCACTATATTGGAAGATAAATTCCCTATCAGATATTGCCACTAGAGGGCACTATATTGAAAGGTAAATTCAGTATCAGATATTGCCGCTAAAGGGCAGTATACTGAATGAAGGTTACAATGTCACTGAAGGGTTATCACGGTTCTCCAGTATAGTGGGAAATGTTTATCATCACTTGATGTTAGCCGCCAATCACAGACTTGTTGTTTGGGGCTGTTCAAGTTATTGCAGAGCACAATTAATGTGGTAGACAGCAGAACTACCAACTCTTAAAAGTTAGTTGGTGGATCAACTTGCCAGTACTGTTAAAAACATTAAAAGTAAAGTGTATGTATTTGCTGAATTGTTTGAGTTATGGACATCGAGTTACGAAAAAATCAAATTACAGAAATGACCACGCCCACTTTTGTGAAACCACGCCCAAATTGTAACTCGATGTTCAATTAACAGTTACCAGAATTTTGAGTTATGGACAACAAACATTATATTTTTTTGTTAAACGTCCACATTCAGTAACTCGAACTTTAAATAACAGTTAACCAAATTTCCAGTTATGGGCAACATATATTTTTCTGTTTTGTTTAACTTTCAAATTTTGTAACTCAAACTTTAATTAACAGTTATTCAAACTTCGAGTTAGTAACTCGAAATTTAATTAACTGTTAACCCAAGTTCTAGTTACGGCAACGTAGATTTTTGTTATTGTTCAAACATCCACATACCATCGTTCATTTTTGACCACGCAATAAGATATCTCGTTTCAACTTTTGGGCTTATACATCTGTACATCTTCACAACTTCTTGTTGACTGGAGCTTGGAAACCACCACAGGCCGCATACAGAGGCCGGGGTCATGATACATTAGAGTTACAAAATTTGAAAGGTATTGCCACTAGAGCGCAATATAATGAAAGATACACTTACCACCAAGGTATCACATTTGTCAGGAGATGGTAAATATGTCTGAATCAGTAAAAGTATGGTCGATTTACCAAATCTAATTATATTTTTAACTCTTGCATTGTACAAATCAACTGGACTTCTTTTACCTTTCAATTTCTTCTCTCCACACTTACACAGACCTATTGTAAAATTGTGCTGAAATGAAACAATGAGCAGTACATTCATTTCAATAACAAGCGACATAACTCCAATATCCTTCTAGAGTATTGTGGTAGCCAGGTCGAGCAATGCACACCAATAAAACAACTATAAGTAGTTTGGCCTTGGCTGTTGAGAACATGTCAACTTAACCTCATCAACAAATTGTTCACAAAAATAATGTACACCTCAAATATCAAAGCAATCAGGCAGGTACATGTAGTTCGCAAGAAGTCACCATTTGTTAACCAAAAATATTCGCTAAAGATAGAGAATAGATGTTATCATCACAAATTGAACAAATCAGACAGAAGTTGACCAAAGTGTACATACCAAGTTTTCAAGAAGAAGTTGAAAATATATTTTTTTAACAAAAATAGAAAGTAGAAGTGAGGTCCACCCAAGTTACATATACATACCAAATACGTAGTCAAAAATGCAATTCTACTGTTTAATAAATAAACCTGATACCTATACATGTATGTACGTAAGTTAATCAAAAGACAATGACGATTTGACGAACTTTCACAGTGAGTTGAGAGTCAAGTAAAAAATTGAGTTTTATCTACTCACATAGTAGCTAAACTGCCAGCCTCTTTCATAGTGCTCTTCAAGTTTCTTTGTTTTCATTTCATAGTCTTTGATCTCTTTAATCTGGTGTTGTTTCTTAGCTTCTTCTAGAATTATCTACCATTGGAAAGTAACATTCATTTGTTTATGATTCACTTGTTTCAAACATACCAGTCCAAGTTATATTTAATTTGATCAATATTTCATAACTCATCTACATATTAA